CCTCCCTCTCTCTCCTCCCTGTCCTCCTCTCTCCCGTCTCCCTGTCCTCCTTCTCTCTCTCCTGTCTCCCTGTCCTCTTCCTCTTCCTCCTCCTCTCTCTCCCGTCTCCCTGTCCTCCCTCTCTCCTCCATGTCCTCCTCTCTCTCCTCCCTGTCCTCCTCCTCCTCTCTCTCCCATCTCCTTGTCCTCCTCCTCCTCTCTCTCCCGTCTCCCTGTCCTCCTCCTCCTCTCTCTCCCGTCTCCCTGTCCTCCTCTCTCCCATCTCCCTGTCCTCCTCCTCTCTCCCATCTCCCTGTCCTCCTCCTCTCTCTCTCCTGTCTCCCTGTCCTCCTCCTCTCTCTCTCCTGTCTCCCTGTCCTCTTCCTCTTCCTCTCTCTCCCGTCTCCCTGTCCTCCTCTCTCCCGTCTCCCTGTCCTCCTCTCCCCCGAGCCCCGAGCCCCAGCTCACCCTGCTGAAGGCCAGCAGGAAGTCCAGGCGCCCGGAGGGCCCCAGGCAGTGCCTGAGCCGCCAGTAGACCAGGTGCTCCCAGGCGAAGACCAGCAGGCTGAGCCCCATGGCCACCAGCAGCATGTAGAAGACCCCCGCCATGTTGTCGATGTCCAGCTTGCTGCTCATCACCTCGATCTTGTCGTTGTGGCAGATCCCCGACAGCCAGAGGCGCTCCAGCATCTCGATCTCATCTGGGGCACAGAGGGGGGAGAGTGGGGTCACTGGGGGAGTCCGTCTGGAGGGGGGGTGCCTCTTCCTCCGGCCCCGCCTCTCACCGTCGCCCACGAGCTGCAGCAGCACCAGGTCCACGGCGCGTTTCCACCGCGAGCCCTTCTGCAGAGCGATGCCGTAGCCGGTGGTGGCGAAGACCTTGCCCGAGCCGATCGTCATCACCTTGCAGCCCTCGTCCTTGCGGGCCATGTAGTTCAGCACGGCCGCGTCGTAGATGAAGGCGTCCAGCTTCCTGGGGGGGGGGAGAGGGGGGAGAGGGGGAGTGTCAGGGGCAGATCTGGGATCGGCGTTGGGGTTGGGGCTGAGATAAGGGGTAAGGGGTGTCATGACTGTTGGTGTTAGCAGTGGGATTAGCAATGGGGTTAGGGGTGTGACCAGTGTTGGGGTTAGGGGTGTGACCAGTGTTGGGGTTAGGGGTGTGACCAGTGTTGGGGTTAATTATGTGTCATCAGTGTTGAGGTTAGCAGTGGGGTTAGCACTGGGGTTAGGGGTGTGACCAGTGTTGGTGTTAGCAGTGGGATTAATTAGCATTGGGGATGGAAGTGTGATTGTGTTGGGGTTAGGGGTGTGATCAGTGTTGGGTTAATTATGTGTCATCAGTGTTGGGGTTAGCAGTGGGGTTAGCACTGGGGTTAGGGGTGTGACCAGTGTTGGGGTTAGG